GCAGCAAACAGCCACAAACAAACATGACAGCGGCCAACACAAACAGCAACAATGACCCAACCATGAGTGGTCGGGCTGGGAGTCCTTTTAAAGCACTAATTGCAAAATGACCAACAGGTGTGCAGCTGCAGGGAGAGCCCTACAGTGCCACCTGTTGGTCACAAAGAGAATCATGCCAAAAAGTTTCCCTAAGATTTTGCGTTGTATCTGGGGGAATGTTATCCATTCATTCAGAAGAACATCTGTGTGGTCAAATATCACTCTTGTCACCTCAAAAGGTCTTTGATTGGGTTGAGGCGAAGGCTCGAAAGTTCTTCCACCTTAAATGTATCTGAACATTCCTATCAGGACCTTGTTGTATTCACTGGGGCTCAAAGTTCAAAGTACAGCTTTCTGGCAAGCTACCTGGCACCAGCAGTTCATCTTCCGATACGTTAGCCCCGCTGCTAAAAGATGACAAATAACTTTGATCATCACAGTCATGGTGCACAGCTTATTTTTTTCAGGATAATGGAAATCCCAAAGCTTCCAAAGACATCTCTCTTGATTCGAGATTTTGTGCTCATGAGGAAACACAGTTTTCTGGATGCTTTGGGATGTGTGGTTCAGTTTCTCCTTTCACTGAAACATTCCTCTTCTTATCTCTAAAATACAAGAATGAATGAGCACCAATAGCTAGCGTCTGCCCGCATTAGTTGCCTGTGGTAATAATAAAAATGTTTTCTCCACATTCAGGAAAACAACCATGCACAAATGTGGATCCTTTGGGACAAAAACACAGATGTTGATTTCCTACAGTCAGAAGGAGGCTGGATCATTATGCATGCTTTTCCTGGAACAACCTTTCTGATTTGAAACGCGGCTGTTTTTCTGATTGAATAAAAGCCTTTTATCAGGTTGTAATGACATGAACACGAATCACCGAATTTTTCAGTCATTTTCTTTTTCTGAAACTGACATCTTTTTGTATTTTGTGGCCATCGGTACGTGTTCATACAAAGAGCTTTGAAGAGGAACACATCTACATTCTGGGCTTTTTTTTTTCAACGCCAAAAGGTCAACCCAACACAAAAGCTGCAAGGTTACTGTGACATTGCTTGCTTGTCTGGATTCAAGGGGATAGACATCGGAAAATTGACTTTTTAATTGTTTATATCCAAATAGTTGGGTCTCTGAAGTGATTTCCCACTCATCAAGTCAGAAACTAATCAAAGCAATGGCATCTTTTTGGGTGATCTGCCTATTTCTAAAAATGTACAAGTGAGCTGTCCAAAGTTTTGCTGGATTGTGGCATCACGAATTGGCATATACAAATTGGCATTTAAATAATGACTGAACCCCACATCAGGTTTCCACTTCCACAATTGGGCAGCAACGACCTGATCCTAGACTATTCGACAGCACTACCATGTCAATGCCAGTAGGTAAGCAGAGCTGCTGTGTTGGAAAAGATTATCAATAGCAAACATCACATATCCACCACATACTGGAATGTTTGTTGAAATTGTTGACCTTGGGTTGGGGAATATTTGTGTTTGCCAATATTAAATGACATTGAAGAGCACATTTCTGGTCATAATGCAGTGAAATCTTGGGTGTTGCTTGCTAGCAGGAGGGTGTGGGCGCAATGGATAAATGAGTCGATGGTGGCTTTACGCAAGTGTCATTTGTTTGCACTGTGGTCGCAGACAGGGGAACCTGCTCTAGACAGAGTCTCCAAAAGTCTACAATAATGTCACATACAAGTCACTAAATTTGTTTCTTATCGCTTTACGATGCCTTTACTGTTTCTCATTCACTGGGTGCATTGGATATGTCGTTAGATATAAAGCTGTGTTGTCGCTCGCATATCGAATGCCCAAGCTCTGCCCCCTGGTATTCATGGAAACCAAAGCTATATCCTGCACTTGCATGAGACAGCATCGTCCACCCACCCCACCCCCAATACAGAATGATTTTATTTTGACGCAACATTGTCAGTCGTGCTTTATTGAAACACTTGGGAACTGTTTTAAATTGTGAACAAGGTGCATAAATATTAAGTTAATATTGAGCTTTAAGGGGGCTTAAAAAATAATCATGTTGTTGGACAGTCGTCGTCCTCACTCTCTCAATCTTCAATAAAACCTCTCTCACGGGAGAATATTATGGTAGTGTCTTTGCAAAGAAGTAATGAATGAACATGTTTTCATTCTGAATACCAGCCTCTGAAAAGCCAAATCGATTTGTCACCATGCAGTGCCTGCCGCAGCTGAGATAAAAACCAGCACTGTATCAGTAAATGCTGCAATATTGTTTTTAAATATCTCACCATTGGATGAATTGAATTCTGTATTATTTCTCTGTAGATATTGTTGTGCATGTGCATGTGCATGTGAGGGTGCCTGTTTGTGTCTTTCTCCAGAACACAGCTCACAGATGCAAGCCAACTGCAGTTTAATTAGGAGCTTGAGCTCTCAACATGGGCCAAAATGTATCCCTCTTCAATTTCGATGAAGTTACTCCATTTTAGAAAAGAGTGTGCTCGGGCAATAAGACAGGGATGATGTTTCCCATGGCATCGGTTCATTTTGTTTTACCACATTCATACAATAGATTCTTGCAGAATACAGTATCTGGAATCCAGGGTCCTACAGGGCTGCCTCTAAAAATGGGGAAACATGATCCATTTTGCATAACGCACAGGTTAAGCTTCAACTTGGTTGATTATTAAACTATGAATTGTGTCAGTTTAAACTCTAGTAGAGCAGCCAGTCAGTAGTTTCTGTGTTGCTAATTGATGAAAAAGTTGTTCTGATTTCAAAAGAACTTCCCCATAAGAAATGATGTTGGCTGTTGGCTGAGAGCAGCCGCAATTAGCTTGCGAACTAGCAGGTGGGTGCGGCTGGCGCCTCTTTTTGTGGTATGGAAAGCCCCGCGACGACCCTGTGGGATATATTTCAGCCACCGAACTGCAGGTTTTCACTGCTCAAACATGTAGGGATGTGTCGGCATAAAAAAGATGCGAGCTGTAGTATTTGATTGACAAGTAAGAAGGGCGTGGTTTCTGTACATTAAACGGACATGTCCACAGCATTTGAGTGTAGGAACAAAAGCTTGATTTTTTTCAGGATTGCATATATATTTTTTCAACCATTCATATTTGGCAGCTTGGTTGACATTTTTATGTGGTGTGTCAAATTTAGAAACACTATTTATTTTTCACTTAATAGTTTTGGGGCTTTTTGTAAAGGTTCCCCTGAGGTTTGAGCCACTGGCTTTTGTGAATGCACTTGAATATAAACTTCAACTTGTGATTTTTCTTTCAGGTTCAACGCATGTCTTGTGTGTGTAGTTTTACTGCTCTTAGTTGCAATCATAATCTGAAATTAAAGTATCATTGCTATATTACATATATACATAGCTTGATAGCAGGTCTTGGCATGATGGTTTGGTTGGCATCTGGAGGTGACCCAAACCTGGATGTAGACTTTAAAGTAACATAAACATCGATAAATAGATGTGTGCTCACAAACATACACACATGCCCAGAGGCAAAGAGCTGCTGTTGATCCTCCTTTTGTTGCCATATGCTGACAAACAGACTGAGAAGATGGAGGACGTGAAACTTCAGGTTGGCAGAAGAATGCAAAGTTGCCCAGGCTCTGTATACTTTGTTCATACAATGTAACACTGTAGTCCGCATTTCTGTTGGCCTTTTGGATTTGCTTTGCATTCTTTTGATCCGAGATGCTTTTGTTTCACCACGTTATCAGGAGTTTTGTTTGCCAGTCGACTGTGCCTTCTTTGCCACGTTGTTATGTTAGTCAATCAGCTCGCTCCATCTGCGTGTGTTCTTTTTTGCTCACTTGTCTTTCATTCATTGTCCTCTTCACATGTCATCATTGTCATCTCGTTGCCTCTCGAAACACTCATTGGTGTATTGGTCCATTGGAGATATTGCCCCCCCTGGTGGAGTCACACTGTTTTCCAGAGCCCTCAGAAATCTGACCTGTAGTCATACTTATTTCTATTTGTTTATTTATTGATGTACAATTGGGCTCATAAATTTACATAGTCTACCCTAGGGGTATGTAAATTTATGAGCTCAACTGTATGCATGTATTTATTTATTGTAAACTTGGGTTATATTCGGCCCACAAAAGTAAAGTTGTCTGATTCAGAATATATAAATAAATAATTGTTTCAATGTTGCTGAAAGCATGAACACATTCAGATGAAGTGAGTGTGTACTATTTATTACTACACTGTTTCATTGAATATAAATTCAACACTCTTTTATTACTGAAACTTCATCATGTAAAATAAATCTCCTGTATGGACTCCAGCGAGCAAGTCTGTTACACTTCCGCCGTGTACACAGCGCGCCTTAACTGAGCTCAATTTAAAGGGAATGAGAGGAGCCACTTCAACTGGCTGTGAATCAAGTTGGCTGTGTTCACTCCCACAATGGCGCAAACACCTGTTTGGAGCTGCTCCCATCTACGATAATATCAAAACAAAGAAAATTCCTCCCAAATGTTCAGTTGCACTGCACTTTGCGCTAGACTTGAAAATAGGGCCCAAATTGTTCATCGAGAATGATGATACTTTGGCAGGATGTGTTCAAATAATGTGCAATGAAGATGCAGATGGCATACTACATGATTTACACATGGATTGGTGATTAATGAGTGGAAAGGATGATCGAGACAATTGTTGGGAAAAAGGTGAGCGAGATGAATTCAGGTTCATTTAATTTTGCTCACAATTCCTGACGGATGTTCACTGAGGTTCTTCTGCATTTCATAGGAAGCAATCAATGGATATAAGGTTTGGTTCACTGGTTTTAGAAAAACAACAAATAGTTTTCATTCCTCAATTTCAAATTACCAATAAATCTCACAATTCAGAGTAAAATCATGAGAATCAGTTTAGATTAAGATTTATTAAATGTTATCATGGCGAGAAGAATGCTAGAAAAAAAGCAAGGAACAGTTTAGGTTCCCAAGAAACTTTTAATGATATAGGGTGTAAATACAAACACCTTCTAAGGCAAAGTAAGTAACACATAGTTCAGAAGCAATTTTCCAACCTAACTGAGGCCGAAAAAGAATCTATTCAACAACAATTACAGTAATTAGGAAGCCTGCGACAGTGCTCCGTGCAACACACTCTCCACTAAAGGTTTACCCAGCTTGGAAAGCATAAAAAAAGGGATTTTATTCTATCTAACCTTTCATTGAAAAAAAATAAAAATAAAAAGTAATTGTAGCGGTGGTGTCTAAAATATAGAATAGTATCAAATGTAAAAAACAAAATGAAGCATGTTGTTCTCAGATACAAGGTGTTAGGATGTCAGGTCATTACATAGACAAGTAAAGAAAATATGGACTGCAGTTTGCAGCTCTAACAGATTTCTACAAGATGTTGGAATTTGTGCTCTGTTAATTTTAACATTTGTAAGGCTAGTGCCAAGAACTGTTTTCCAATCTCTGTTCTGCATTAAAGCAGAGTCATGCTGGAACAGAAAATGATCTTCCCAAAACTTTGCCCACACAGCTGATAGCCTGATTTGCCCAAACTGTCTTCATTAAGGTAGAATACCGGTACTTGAATTATAGGAAACTTAAGAGGTCTAGCCCAACCCCTGAGTCATTAATTAAAGGTGTGTCTCAATACCTTTGCTCATAAAGAGTACAACTCGGGGGTGTTACTCAGAATGGAACTGTTGGAGCATCTGCCATGTCGAGACAACTGTTGGCGAGCAACAGTGTGTCCTTAAAAGAGAAGGTTGACATCGATGTCATCTGTGGAGGGATAAAATCATTTGCAGCAATGGTTTGAAAATTACAAATAACATGCATTAAGTCAGAAGTAGACAATCCAAACAATAAATAAATTACAATTAATCAGTATGGAGTGCTAAATAACGGATCCAAAATGTGTTTTTGTTAAAGTTGATATATTGTTTATAATGACCTCGTTTACAAATTTCAGATTGAACATGGCGTGTGTTGTGTGATCTTACTGCTCTTGATGCCAAAACAGGAAGTCCACTCTGTAAGGGACACATGCTTGTCCTTGTCGGCATCACACTCTTGAAAGAAGCGAGAGGTACAGTGCTCCATAGGTACCAGAGGGACCCTGAGTGGAGCCAGTTCTGAATGGGACAGCACTCTGCACGGGAGAGAGTAACATCAACTCTTTAGAGGGGGGCGGGGGGCACTACGGTGTAGTTCATCCATCCATCCATTTGCTATATTGCTTGACTTCATTTGGGTTGCAGGTGGGCTGAAGTCTATCCCAAATGACTTCCGGCGAGAGGAGGGATACACCCAGGACTGGTTGCAAGTCAATCAAGATAAACAATAATTCACATCCACCCCGGCGTGCATGGTGAGAACATGCAAACTTCACATGAAGGTCAGAGCAGAGATTCAAAGATCCTCAAAGCGGTTAGCCAGATTCAAAATTCAGTAATGTCATATCCATTTGTTGTACTTCACTTCGTCGGTGAGAATAGCAATTGATTATACAGCCCCTCAAAACGTACTTCAGCTTACTTACTCCTCCTGAAATGTTACCTAAAACCTATTGATATTGAAAAGTAATGGAGTAAATGGTTTCCATATCTGTGTTGAATGTCCTAAATTACATGCTACACGCAGGATGGTGCTATAGCTACACTGATATCCAACAATAGCTGTGATGGGCATAAACAATCAAATTAAACAAATAACCTGACAACGCTCCCATTGTGGCCATGCTCAGTTGTCAGTGTGACTCGTGCGGTAAAACTGACCTGTCAGAGGGGTGCTGGTCCAGCTGAGCAAATTGCCAGTGCACTGGGTAGATGTACATGTTGTAGTTCTTCTCAAAGTCGTGAGCCAGTAGCTCGTCAGAGTGATTACCAGCATGAAGACGTCTTTCACTCTCAAAGATTTTCTTCACCTATAAAACACAGTCCAAACAACTTCATAGCCGTGGTAACTTATTGTCGATAGAAAGAGAACTTAAGAGGGATAGAAGATGCATCATTGTTAAAATTTGTGAATGTTCCATATTATTTGGCGCACTAAACACACTCTGAATCGTTGCTTGGAGGTGAGGTAGCCAGCGGACATGGAGTCGTGTTCATAAAGCTGCAGCAGCACATTTTTTAGCCAGTCTCTCATTCGCAGCGGGAACTGGACTAGCTCGGTGTCCACACATGGAGGTATCACTAAGCAAGACAGAAGAAGAGAGCTCAAGGTCATATTCATTTGTGACGCAGCTGTATTTAAGCAAAATGTTCATGCGCGCTCACATTTGCACGGCCCTGTGTAGTCCAGATGAAGTCTGTGCCCCTTTTTGGTGCCTTCCAGATTGCATTTCGTGGCGAAGAGTTCACACGAAGTGCTGTATGTCTTGTTGTCTGTCCCACAAACCTTCAGAAATTAAATGGCAATGAGCAATGTCGGCGGTTGTCTGATTATGAAGATGAAGGTGTTATTTCGTTGGCTGTTTGTTTGAGTGTGGAAGGGTGACGGGGAACACATGTCATTGAAGTACTGATGGGAATATAAATGCATTAATTTAACTGATTTTCTCATTAGGCAACATAGCATGGTAGGGCTTAGCGCTTCTGCCTCACAGTTGAGAAGGTTCAAATCTCAACTCAGGCCTTTCTGCAGTGTTTCCTCAATGATCAAAAACATGCATGCAAAAAGTACTCAATTGTCCATGCTGGAGTTGTGAATGTGAGTGTGAATGAATGGAACCATTTTTTTTTTTACTGGCTTTTAATTTTTTAAACTATTTATCCATCAATTTGTTGTGTATTATGTGATAAGGTGATTTTTGTACGGGTCATTATGGCCTTCCCTGGCACACAATAACTATGATGCGGCCCGTGCCCAAAAAAAAAAAAAGAGTTTGTCACATCTGACATTTGCTATAGAAATGGATGGACAGATTTTCTCAGTAGCCACTTTGGGTAAAATTAACATCCCCCAAAAGATTGCTATTTTTGGCCTCCTCATATCGGAGCCTACGTATACTGTCGCCTGAATAAATTGCTGCTCACATGGTTGGGCAAACAAACAAAGACAAATATTGGTAATGCGTTGTGATTCAGACTTACGTGATCAAACTCATTCAAACTGGGGGGGCATTCTGTGGATTCCTGGCAGACACAACTTGGCTTATTATCTTGATCAAGTTTGCACATTTTTCCACGCTTGCAGCGGAAGTCATCGCATGGATCTGAAACATAAAACAATGTGATTGCTAGAAAAACCAGTGAGCTGTCACGAAAGCACACCATCCTCTGCATTCCATCTGCCTTCAAGCTCGTACAGTGACTAAATTCAACCTGATCTCTCCGCATTCACTCCTAAAGCTGGTGGAGCTGTGTTTTGCTTGCAGCCATGAAGCAAGAATGGCTCTGCTCATGCTGAAGTTTTGGTTCAATGTGCCATTCAGCAGATTGCGAGACTGTTGGTGGAGTGATTGAGTTAATGTAGAGAATGCTGCGGTTTTAGGCAGACACCAACCAGGAGGGGCTTCTGGGGGCGAAGAGGACCTGGCACTCGGGTAGAGATCCACTTTGGCCCTTATCTGCACTGGGTTGACACCTACTAAAGGGCCCTGTAGGATGTAACACAGGCAAACATTCAAATGCATGCAAACAATTTAGAGGTTTAATCTGCTTCGAATTAAATCCGATTCAGTGTAGTCAAGGTAAACAATTTTCTTTTAGTCCAGGAGATCATTGAAGGGCACATGTAGTAACTTTTTGTTCCACTTGAGGGCAGCAGTAAAAGGTATACTATACTGTAAAACACGCAACAAACCAGAATGTCAAGGGGCCCCTTTGCTGCCTTATCTGCTGAGCCCCATAAAAAAACAACCTTGAAATAGATAGAATGAATTTATGGAATCTATACTGTTGTGTATTTTATATTCTCTTTGTGTATTTATTATTTACTTGAATAACTTCAATTTTTCTAAAATGCCACTTCATTGTTTCAATGTTGTTTAAACTGTTCAAATGATATATTTTTTAAACATGTGTTCCCGCTTTAGCCAGTGCCACTCTTGTGGCAATTTAACAACCACGTGTTCACATGGATGAAGTGCATTGTAATCAGCAAACTTTCTCCATCTGCGAAAGGCAGCACGAAAACATTTTATTCAGTTCTGTGCCATAACTATGTGGATTAAGCATTTTCACTGAAATGATTATATGACTACTAAGAGTAAAATAATTCGAACCTAGAGGCCAAAGACATGATCCAGAAGGTTTAAATTAATATCCATGGAATATTTTCTCATTTATTATGATCTTAATAATTCTTCAAGCGAATATTCAAACACACACGCTGCTGGATATTTTGTGCAGTACTATTGGTGGTATTCTTACCACATTTTTGAGAATCACTGGTATAATGGTTACAAATGTGTTACTTAACATGTTGCCTTGGAAGTCAAAGTTTTGTGATGGCGACATTTTGAGTCCAGCAAATGAATTCATTCACTTGACATTGCTTACAATATTTTGGAAGTTTTGACACGAGGGCATCGCAGAAGTGATTGTGTTCAACTTTGGAAGCTACACTATGTGTGCCCTACCCATTGTCCTGCTCTTCTCCTTTTTGCCTTCTGAACTGTGCTGTTATTGGGTCCTCCTCCCATCTCTTGAGGCGCTTTGTGGCTTAGTTCCTGATCATTTTGTTTTTCCTCCTTTTGTGGCGAGTGCTTCCTTGTTCTTTGCTGCTTCTTTGGTCTCTGTGTCTTTCCACTGGCATTGTCCCCACTCTCAACGTTAGTTTTCACCTCGTCCTTTCCAGCCAGCTGTGTCTGTGAGTCTTTGGGCTTGTTGTTTTGAATTTCATCCTTACTTGACCCTCCTTGATGTTCTGTTCCTTTACTGTTTTGCATCACTTGGACATCTACGGCTCCACCAGCATATGTCTCCTCTTTAGTAGCCGATGTAGAAATAGACTTGATGTCATCTTTGGCTGGAATTAGCCTTAGAGGTGGCACTATTGCACTATCACCAGCATAGTCAAGAGTGGACAGTATCTTGGACTCTGTGCTGTCTTCAGATTCTTCCGAAAATGCAACATTTTCTTCTCCTAAGGATTCATCCCCATTTTTCTGGGTTTTCATCTCCACTTCCGACTCTTTGCTTTCTTTCACAAACATTTCGCCACTTCCCACACTCTCATTTTTGACCCGCTCATCTTGCATCATTAACAATTTCTTCTCCTGCACTTCTTCTGTTAGTCTGAACTTCTCTTCATCAACGCCTGTGTCCACCTCTTCACCCATCTCTTGTTTTTCTGCTTCTTCCTCTTCTGCTTCTTCCTTTTTCAGAAGGTCCACCAGATCGTCCTCACTCAGGAGGACGGCCTCGCTTTCATCCTTCGTCATTTCAAATGCGCCGCTCTTTTTCTCAACGGTAGCGTTGTCTTCCGCGCTCGCTTCCCCTTCTTCCTGCTCCTGGTTACTGGCTTCAACAGCCACTAAAGTGGGCAGGACTGGTGCCTGGTTGGACTCCTCAATGGCAATGTCCTGAATTGAGGGAGGGGAAAAAAGCCATTTTAAATGATGTTTTCAACAAAACAATTCTGGAGAAGTTGGCTTTACCTTTTCGTTGGCCCTGTGGGAAGTTCTCTGCTTTCCATGACGATTATTTTCTACCTGTATAGCATTTGAAATGTGAATCATTGTGCCCGTGTATTTTGCAACTTCATTAAATCGTCTGAAATAATTACTTATGCACTCACAGATAAAGGGAATGCTGCAGCCAGGAGGCAAAGAAATACTACGCAGGCCCTCATACCTGGAAAGATAAACCAAAACAAAAAAGAAAATACACATGTCAATTTTCCATCAATCACCCCTGACAAAAAGAGAATCAAAATGCTTTAAAAGACAAATCCAACCAATAAACCGTATAGACAGACTCCATAACTGCCACAAATATTTTGACTTCCACACATTTGATTTGTGTGCAAAGCCGTCCCCCATCATCATGGTAGCGAGCCTGTGCTTCACCTCAAGTCCCTTTCGTAGCTAAAGTAAACAAGACGCAGCTACCAGACTGGAAAAAAGTAGACTAAGTCCACAGTCGCTTTTTGTTGTTGTTGCAGAGCAGAAGCAAAGCAGACGATGGCGGGTCTGTTCATGGGAACAAAAGAATCTGGTCTGGTCCAGTTAACCCAAGCAGATCAAGTCAAAGCACGACTATGAAGTGTGCAAATATTCGATCCGAATACGTGATTTGAATATTATGTCTATACAGATGGAGGAACTCTTATTCCAATACTTGTAGGTTTGCAATACTTGTAATCTATACTGAGTGCATGCACCTTGTTATTTATAGCTTTGACAATTGTGTTAAATTTTTTTATTCGTACCGTAAAAGTGAATATCCTTTCCTTGAAAATATGTTTTAAACTTTGTAATCTTGTCATCCCATTTCTTCTTTTATTTATTTATTTTTTTAAATGAAAGGGGGTTGAAGCGTGGGTACACCTTTCTGCTCAAGAGCTACATTACATTTTCAAAATAGGCAGATGGGCCTGTTCTTGAATAAAATGAATGTTTTATCCTTCCAGCTATAAAACTATTCAGGAGACAATTTAGATTGGTCAATAATTTTCAACAAAAAAATGTTATGTTATTTCCCCAAAAACACTTATTTAAAAAAAATCAACCTTAACTGTATCTGTGAAATAGTTCTTACCCAAATTTTCATTATTTAAAAAATACAAATGAGCCACCGATTCAAAATCATTTAAAATGAACAAATGTGATCTAGTTAACGGATTTTAGGATGAAACGGCTTCATTGACACAACAAATATGACGGGAATCTTGATCATAGTACAGATTAAAGAACAAAGCGAGCCGTATCCCTCCCACAGCCGTACTTTACCAATCCCTAGTCTAGACAGACAGTGTAATTTAGAGCTATCATTTGTGGCATGATGACATTGACAGAATCTTTAAAACTGATTGACTCTGGTGAGAAATGCAAATTCTTCAAGCTGCAATTACAGGAAAGTGTTTGTCTGAGAGAACGTCTGTCACATTGATATATGGGCTACATAAATGGCATGAACTATGTACTGGTGAGGAGGGGTCTTCATTATGTGACTACTGACTAGCACATGCTTGACTCTTTGTCAGACACCGCATATATCAACATGCACATTTTCACAGTGAGTCTCGGCAATCTGACTTGTAGTTTACATAACAGCAGTATTCATTCCCTATTGGTGATACACAGAAATCCCAAACTATCAGACTAAAAAAATAGTCAACCTCAGCTAAAAGACGCCACAGTACAAGCATACCAGCAACTGCTACAACACATGTGAGCAAATTGGCGAGCGTGACAAATTTTTGATGTGAGTACAAAACATTGATGCGTGGTGAAATAATACCTGAAATTTGCTGGAAGAAGAATGGGAATCCTGCACAGGCATTAGCGTGTGCCTCCGCTCAACCTGGGAAGAAGTCCTTTTGTATCCCAATCGGGGATCTTACTCTACAAACACCATACACACACACACACACACACACACACACACACACACACACACACACACACACACACACACACACACACACACACACCGGATGGGTCTGTCGCACCAACACACTGATAACAAATGGTTTGGGGCTCACAAGAAAGAGAGACCAAACTCCTGTGCAGCATCCATTTAATTTCCTATCTTTACATATTTGAATCACTTTGAGCGAGAGATGGGGTACAAAAGAAAAACAAACAACCTTTCACACTCACATTCTCCTCCCAAACAAAACTCCACATTGGAAGTCTCAAGCTAGGATTTGAAACCGTGACATCTTGACTGCATGCGTTGGACGGAAAAGTGAAAGTGCGCATTACTCTGCTGCAAGGCTCACCTTTCTGTGGCAAGTAAATAGTGGTTACGCAAGTTAAGATTCAAGAGACACGATAAACATTGATCATAAAAGAAATAGAATAAAAAACAAAGTCAGCCTAGCCAAAGTAACTCAGTGACCATGCTGAGAATTCATCCCAACTCTTTCACGACATGGCAGTGTGGTGGGAAAGTAGTTGGTTCAATTCTAGCTTTCCAACGGCTCTTAACACCTGACTCTTTGGCCTTTCTAGTGAAATGCTCTATCCACGCCTCTGTGGATTTTCTCTGGGTGCCCCAGTCTACTCCCACATTCCAAAAACATGAAAATTCATTTCCGGCCAGTTCCCTTGACCAAGATGCTGACACAAGGTCTGGATCTGGTTCCCCATTCAGTTCGCAGCCACCGCCTGCTCTTTAAGAATGGGTTGAGTGCAGAGAACACATTTGACTGAACAGAGTAAATGACAAATAAACTGTAGTACCGTAATCACAAAATGTCCGAACGCGAAACCAAAATGGATCATACCTGTGCAAGGCAGAAATGCACATTCATCCTGCTCAGAAAAGTAGACCTCTAGGATTGCCCCAAAACATCAAGTTCAGCAGCCATGAGCCTGTTCAAATGATCAGAAACAATATACGGGTGAAAATGCGCTTTGATGGATGACTTCTGCTCATATTTAGTCTAGTGAAACCTCCGCCGTGGTCTTTTGTGTTTCTCAACAATGTTTGATTAAAATGGAGCAATGATGTGTGTCTTCCGCCATATTTAGTCTAGCCTGTATGACATTTTCATGCCCGCAGTAAACCAGGTGCGTCCTTGGAGCCATCTGTTAGCCTTGATACACTGCTTACTGGAGACCTTGTGGAGAAGGGTTGATACAAGCTTAGAATCGGTTTAGGAGACACTGAAGTCTCGAGGTCGCACTATAGTCTCGACACTGCCCTTCTGATGAAATAAATATGTTGTGTGTCCTTTGTATGGGTGCACTCGTGATCTAGCAGCCATTGTCTGTAAATCATTGGTGCCCAGAATATTCTGCAAATAATGCGTCGAAGAGACTGTTTATCACCTCCAGCCTGTATTTGGATAACCAACATTCTCATCATCCGAAATTAACGAACACGCGGCGGAAGACAAAGGCCACCTTCCTCCAACAGCTTCAACTGAGGTCAAATGTGTCCTTTCGTTCCCCAACATGATCGTTCTAAAACCAATTGAAGTGACCGAAAAACGCACGTCACTTAAAACATGATGTGCTACTTGCTAGGTCAATTTGAGGTCCGTGTGCAGAGATTCAAATTCTTCGCAGAACATTTGCTCAAGAAAAGGTCATCACCGACCATGGCTTCAAAACACAAAGTTCAAGTTCTCAACCTCAGTCTACTTCAAGAACAGTAGTGTATTAAAATAAGAGTGGAAGGATAAACATTTGGAGTGTGTACTTGAGGGACAATGTTTGTATGAACACTGGTTACTTCACTTTTTTTAATCCGCTTCCTCGTATACTCTTCCATATTCAAGGAATGTATTCAACTCTCTCAATGCAACCGACTGTGACGCTTTTGCACCCAGGATGTTTGCAGTATCTGAGGTCATGTGACGTTAAATTGCTTGGTTTTTTTTTTTTAATGTTCAGAACTCGTTCCTGCCTAATACATGACTTGCTTTATATCGATGCAGTAGTTGGAATTCCACTGTTCTGCAGATTTGTAATTCTTCTCTCTGATCCAACGGGTGATAGAGAAAATCAAGTGTGTGGCAAATGTTCACTTGTATCAAGTTATTTCCCTTACGTAAATTCACAGTATCCTTGACTGCGGAGGGCAACGCATCACACGACTTCACATAACCACACGGCGAACACGCAGACATAGTAAACCGCTTGTCTGCGTGCCACAACAAGCATCAATCAACCTGGGCTCACTCCGCCCCTTTCTAAAGCAGGACACCGAGTGGCGGCTGTGGTTTGCAAAGCGCTCCAGACTTCAGTGAACATCCCCAGCCTAATTACATGTTTCTTGTACATAGCCAAACTCCAAGGAGGTTTTAAACAAGGAATTATTTCGTTTTATTTAAAGACGGACCATATATGGACAGCCAGGAAACGTTTACAAGCCTCAGGCAGGAAGCGTCAACCTCTTTATTTAGGTATCCTACTGTACATATCTTTTTTTTCCACAGACAAATTCCATAGTTCCAAAAACAGGGTTTGGTTACATCGTAGCAAACCTATATCGTTTTCACAATGGGTTTCTCAATGCGCGCCCACAATGGGTTACATAATAAAATTACGATTTAGTCTCATGTTTAATTCTTTAAACATCAATCAACAATCCATTCAACTTTAACCCTTTCATGCACCCTATAAGCTGACAACTTGATAAGCTGTCTGTCACGTTGCGAGGTGGTGGTGGACCCCAAAAAGCAGGCAAGAGGGAGGAGCAGTGTGTACTTGACAAATTGTATTCAAACATTTTAGTTTTCTGAGAAAACTAAATCCAAAACAAACAAAGTCCAAAGTATCAAACAAAAATCATGACTGAAGCTAAAACATAACAGTGACCGAAACATGACTGAAACAAACTTGACAGAAGCAAACGATGACCCGACAATGAGTGGCCGGGCGGGAGTCCTTTTATACGACTAATTACATAACGACCAACAGGTGTGCAGCTACAGGGGGAGCCCTACAGTGCCACCTGTTGGTCACAAACAGAATCATGACAGTGTCCACTGCAGTATCCGCTGTCCCTGAAAGGGTTAAAAAAATTTTAAAAATAATGATCGGTGTCTTTGCGTTATCTAGAAAAGCACTACATTAAAATGAGCGACATGATCACGGCCATTTTGATGTTGCCCACATCTTCAGAATGAGTCCCCTTCATGACCATCTTCAGCCTGGGAGAGAGGGGAAAAAAAAATCACTTTGCGCCAAATCGGTTGAATAGGGTGATGCTCTTCTTGGCCAGGAGCTGTCGGATGCTCAGGGCATTGCAAGCAGGCGTGTTGTTATTGTGAAACCATGATTTGTCTTGTAACAACTTTCAGTCCTCGAGTAATTACCTTTATTCAAACAAATGCTTGAGGATTATTTTCTGCCTTGGGTACCTGTTTATTTGGTGTCCTCTGTCAGGAAGACAAGTCATACAACAATTCTTCACGCCATGCATGACGGTAACATGCCACCAACATGGTGAGGAGGGCAACTTCGAAATAAAATCTTAGTAAATACAGTATTGCACGGATGTCAGTGCCTTGATGCACTCATATTTTGAAGTTTGGGGTGACGTGACGGCTGACTTGACTCATCTTCCCGAGTGGAAGTTGGATCGTTGCAGCCCAGTCAAAGTTTAATTTGCCATTACAAACTGTTGCCGCCAACATCAACACAAAAATCAACCAGAAATCATGTTCAGTACCGACAGTTGTGCTCATTAGTTTACATACCACCGGGCAGGGTTGTCCACACCCGATCCTACAAGGCTGCTGTCCCGCATGTTTTACATGTTTCCCTCAAATGATCAGAATCGTTATCAGGCTCCTTCAGAGCTTGGTGATAAGCTGATCATTTGAATCTGGAGCATTGGATGAAGGAGATATGTAAAACAGGCAGGACAGCCGCCCTCGAGAAGCAGAGCGAGACATGAGCCCAACTGTATCTATCACCATTCACCACTAGTTGGCTGACATATAACTGTATTTAAGGATGCTAAATAATTAATTACGCTTACATTGTAGAATGCGAGACTATGGGCTAGCTGCTAGCTAGTGAGTGAGTGAGCTAGTAAGCAAGTGCCCCATGTAGTCTGGCAAATGCCGTCGGACTTCATTTCAAAGGCAGTAAAAGAGGTAAATATGATAAGCGATTTGGATATTGGATGGATGGATGGACTCTCCACACTGTGATGCTGACAGCCTGACATGGTTGCAGTTCCTACTGATCTTTTTTTTTTTTTAAATCAGGCTTACCCAAATGTGCTACTTTTGCCGGCAAAATCGCTACTGTGGTTCGGATTGTGGATCATTTTCCCAGCATATCACTTCTTAATGTTTCTAGAAAAGAAAATACAATTTGCTGATATACACAGTTTACATTGAGGGGGAAAATGTCGAAATATTTGGTAGCTGCAGTTCTAATTTCCATTGTTATTATTTTAGCAATTTAAGAAATGAAGGTTAATTAAACATTTTTTATGAAGCCGTAAGGGACGAAATTTGTAGGCTGGGCTGTAGCCTGCGGATAGAGCAAAATAAAATACACAGTGATGTAACAAAAATGTATTTATAATATTGAAGAGTAAGTAAAAAGGAATTAGACTGTCTGCTGGACTTCATCATCATAGACAAGATGGCAGTTTTTGGTTAAAGTGGTGAAAATGTAAGTTAACAGGAAACAAACATAACCTCGCCTATGCCATGCTTCCGCTCCGAGTAGGTGAGGTTCTTATTTTCTCTCCAAAGGAAAAACAAGCCCAATAGTTTGCTCATATTTCACATTTGACAAGGGAGGGGGCAGAGTATGATTAAAATTTAAGTGCGCATCTGGAGCATAGAGTCTGAATAGAATTCAAGTCTCTATCTATCTTGCTCTTGGACTCTAGTTACAGTGTCTGTAATTTTTGGTTTTGGACTTGTAAAAATGTACTTGACGACATCATGTTATTTCATACTTTATGACACTTGGTTTGAAGTGTAAGAATTGGATTGTGCTTCAAGGAAAGTGTGTGTGTGTGTGCGTGTGTGTGTGTGTGCGTGTGTGTGTGTGTGTGTGTGTGTGTGTGTGTGTGTGTGTGTGTGTGTGTGTGTGTGTGTGTGTGTGTGCGCGCGTGTGCGGGTGTGCGCACGCGCGTGTTTGTGGTGTCTGTCTGTGGTTTGTGTGTGCACTCATCATCATCCATCCCGCCAAAATGTGTTTTGAGTTGGCTCTCTGGCACAAATACACCTTGGCGTGTCCACAGAGGAGAAATCCGGAAGGAAGTGATGTAACTGAAACATCATTTAGTTCGCATATATACAGCCGCTGTTGGGGTTTCCTCCAGCTTGTCCCAACTACCAGCTTCCAGCTCAGAATAGGCTTCTCCTGCTCGCTGTCACACATAAGCCGAAGCATTGACAGCTTCTCACTTGGCGTCTGACTGATAAAAGATTATCCATCAAGCTTTGATCGCTTCTACTCAGGTAAGATTGGATATTGACTTTGTATATTTTCAGTCAGTGAAATGTATCTGCATTTTTCTTGACATTGAATTAGCTTAACAACGTGGAAGTTTCTATTTATTATGTAGTTGCAATTTGCATGCAATCATCTGCTTTGTTTATTTTTAGCCTGAGTTATCGCTCTCTAACAATCATAAAAATGTCATCTAATGATAATGATGATACAGTACTCACTCACTGCTTTCTTATTCTGTTGAGTATGATCCATCTTAATGCGGTTTATACACGTGTCTTGCAGGATGAGGGTCATCGGACTAACATTTTGCCTTATTGGGGCGATATTTGCCAAACCTGTAAGTACATATTTTGGGAAAATAAGTACAATGGTTAGTTTCAAGTCAGTTGTCAACTTGCTATTATTTTTGAACAAAAATAATGAAGTCAGTGCTTACCTGTTTTAAATA